TGAATTTCATCGAGTTGCTAACCGTACTACTGAGATTCGCCCTATATTACTGAAGAGTTGTTCTCTGGGGGTTTAAAATGAGAGCTGAAGTATGATGTGAAATTATTGTGTCCTGCAAATGTTCATGAAGTTGTTGCTACAGCTTTGCAATTAGATGCTGATAGAAACACTTAAAATACCTGTAAGAGTACAAGGTAATCGTAGTATAGCAACTCAAGTAAGGTTGTTCTCTATAGGGATTGAATGAATAATTTATGTAAAATCAAATCTTAGTTAATTATTTAAAACAAAGTTTAGAAAGGTTGATTTTATGATTTAAAATAATAAAAACGAATTTAATTAAAATAATTAAACAAATCTGCAAAGCAAAGAAAACAAAAGAAAATAGTTTTGAAAATCAATTTAAGCATTAGGGTTCCATCGCCACCTCAACAATCCTATGTAGTTCTTCCAATTACTTATGAATTACACATGCATATTTGAATGTTAGGTTTTCCTAATGTATGCCTACTTGGACACTAACATAGAACGTATATCAAACATTCAATCCGTCTGTGGCATTCAGATAAAATTTAAACATGCATGACTCATTAAGTTTTATGAAACCTTTTGAAAAATCATATAACCCTTAAGATGTGGTATCATCTTAAGTGAACTTGCACATATTAACCACAAGAAGCCTTCGTCAATTTCAAGACCAATCTCCAACCAAATTGCATCAAATTACTTTTCTAAACATCATAATGGTAGCTAAGCATTAAGACAATTAGACAGTATAAACTAGTGATTAATAATTCAAAACCTGCATTCATAAAATCATAAGCAAATTGAAAAGAAACTACTTATTCTTGCTAAGGCTCCTGACCTCGCCCTAACAAATGAAAATAAGTTATGAACAATCATAAAATAAAATATTATTAAAAACAAGGATATAAAACATCTTGAAATACAAATCGTTAAAGCCTAGCAAAGTTCTCCAAAACTAATGCGTTCTTCCCGCTCTTCTCTTTCAAAACCCTAATGGCTAAAAAGCCTTATTTATGCCACTACACAATTAAAATCCTTACTAGAGAAGGTCTTCTAAATACTAGGAAACATAATAACTTCAAAGAAACTAGGAAACATGATCGTAATCAAGTATGGCAAATCTTTCCAACCACAAATTAGCCACGTTTTGGACCCATATCTACTCCAAAACCAGCCCAAAATAGCTGGATTTAAATCTTGGAATATTTTGAACACTTCTCCAGAAGGCCAAGAACCCATAAGAGGTCATCTTGGGTTCCAAAACCCGCAAAACCCAAAAAAGTCACTTTCCAACGTAACGCGCTGCACCTTTATTTCATTGCTATAAATAAACCGCTTGGTAGAAACATATGAAAGTTTGATACGAGCAAGTTGAGAGACACACGAACGTCCTCCAATTGGAATAACTCCAAAATTCATCCATTTGATCACGTTTTGCTCCAAAGGAAGTCAGAAATCCTATATTGAAAATACATTTTGAAGTATCAAAATTCTTCCAAAATAATAACCAAAATATACTAAGATTAGGGTCATATAAATAATATAATATTGACTCATCAGATGCCAAACACACTGACCTTAAATCCACTGCTATGAAACCTTCATTTACACCTCAGCCACAGCCCCAGCACTCCACTTCCTACTTTAACCCTATGTCTATAACTGGTTCCTTGCCATGACAAAACTTTCACCTGAGGAAATCAACGCAAAAGGGATAGTGGAGAGTGTTGGTTCTGTGATGAAAAATGGTCATGAGTCCATAAATGTACCAAAAGGAAATTACTTATGTCGGAGATGATACACCCTGATGAATTATTGGAAGGAGAGGAAGAAACCTTACCATCAGAATTATCCCACATGAAGCTTAGTGAGTGTGCATTATATGGTACTAGTGGTCCACATAAGGTTCAAACCATGTAGGTTGATGGTTTTATCAATAGCCAGAAAAATTAAAATCCTGTTAGATTTAGGCAGCACCGATAACTTTGTGGATTCTCAGGTGTTAAAGAACTTTGGGTGTCCTTCTTAACCAACCAAAACTTTTGAAGTTATGATTGCAGATGGTGGTAAAATACGTAACTCAGGTTGTTGTAGAGCCACTGATTAACTTTAGGAGGTTAGACTTGTGTAGTTGATATGCATGCTTTGCCTCTAGGGGGATGTGACATGGTATTAGGGGCTCACTGGCTCTCTTCGGTTAGTCTTGTCCCTTGGGATTTTCAGCTTCTTATAATGGAATTCACCAAAAACAATACTAAGTACGAGCTCAATTATAACTCTTCTACAACTCCACCAATCCAAGAGTTTTTTTTTTTTGGTTGCGTCAATTGGATAAAGAGATATTGAACTCTAATTTGGGGCTTTTTTTTTTTTATTTTTTTTTTTTTTTGTACTCAATTGGAGAGTAAAAGATTGGAAGCTGTTCATCAGGAAAAAAAAAAGATTGGAAGCTTGTGATCTAAATCTTGAGCAGTTGCATGAATTACAAACTCTATTGGGACACTTTGAGGAGATCTTTGTCTTGCCATACAAGTTACCTCCTAGTAGGTCCCATGATCATTATATACCCCTCATTCTAGGTTCCAAGCCTCCCAATATAAGACCTTGTCACTATGGTAGTGCAAGAATTGCTAGATTTGGGGTTCATCAGACCTAGCCACATCCCTTTTTCTTTTCCTGTGCTATTGGTAAAAAAGAAATAAGGTAGTTTGAGGCTCTGTATAGGCTATAGAGAGTTGAGTTCACTTATTTTCAAGGACAAATATCTTATCCCTCTAATTGATGACTTATTGGATGAACTGTATAGGGCCATATACTTCTCTAAGCTTGATCTAGGTATGGATATCACCAAATTCGAATAAGTACTAAAGATATATAGAAAACAACATGCAGAACTCATGAAAGATACTATAAGTTTTTTGTTATGCCATTTGGCCTCACCAATGCTCTAGCCACCTTCCGAAAACTCACGAATGACATTTTCAAGCCCTATCTCAGAAAATTCATTCTAGTCTGTTTCGATGATATCTTGGTTTACAATAGGAATTGGGAGAATCACTTGAGTCATCTTAAAACTGCATTTGAAGTTCTTAAGCAACATCAATTATTTGTCAAGAAACAGAAATGTTCTTTTGGTCAACTCAAGATTGAGTACTTCAGCCATGTGGTATCCCAAAATGGGGTTGAAGCTGATCTAGCAAAAATTCAAGACATAATTGCTTGGCCTACACCTACCATTATCAAATTATTGAGAAGATTCCTAGGCCTCACTGGTTATTACAGGAAGTTTGTCCCCAGTTATGGCAAGATATGTCAACCCCTACATCAACTCACCAAGAAAGATGGCTTTATTTGGTCCACTGAAGTAAATGAGGCATTTAAGAAGCTAAAACTTACAATGGTATCTCCTCAGGTCCTGGCATTACCCAATTTCTCACTTCCATTTGAATTAGAGTGTTGATGATTCAGATTTAGGAATATGAGCAATTTTGCAACAACAAGGCAGGCTTATTGCTTTCACAAGCAAGGCTTTGGCCCCTAAAAACCAGTCTCTATCAACTTATGAAAGAGAACTTATATATATTGGCCATGTTGTCAAGACATGGCACAATTATCTTCAAGGAAGACACTTCATTATCAACTTAGACCATAGCAGCTTAAAGTTCTTTTTGAATCAAAGAGCCATCGCACCCTTTTAGTAAAAATAATATACTGCCTAATGCAAACAATCTGTACACCAATTTCGTCATGTGATATTCACTTGACTGATTAATTATTATTTGAATCCTTGAAATCTCCATGTCATCAGTAAATTATTGAAACCATTCCTATTGACTTTTTTGCACCCCCTGCCATTTAGGCCTCTCAAGAAATTGACTGATGGAGAACCTTAGTTCTACTGTATGTTTCAATGCAACCCTTGACAATCTAATACATAACCAGTCTTCAATGTTGATAGGAATGGAAACAATTTTAATGCCATTGCCGTCAAGAAAGTCTTGCAACACTTTCTATATCACATCACCCTATAAGCTACTAAGAATAAGTAGATTTAGCCTTCATCCAGTTTGTAAGTCCTTCAAAAGAATCTGACTAAAGAGATCACTAGATCTAGCTTGGTTTCATTGAAACTTATAATTACTAAAGACGACCCTTGCAAACATATGATTGACGGATCTATTCTCTGATTTTACAGAGTTTCCACATCCCTCATGGCCCATGTAAAATATTAAGTTTAAAACTAGGTTTCCTATGAAAAAAATTTGCGTAGTCACACAGAAAACCTCAATATAAGCAAAATATTCATCAGTATCATACTTTAAGAAGTGTTTTTCCATTGGGCATCACCTTTAATTGCACATGGAGGAAGCACAGAGGGCAGTGGTCTGGCAGATTTGTTTGATTCAAATACTCAGCGCCTAACAAATGCTCATGGTGTTTTCCTAGGGTTGTGGGATTGGTTGATTGATTTGGAAGCTAAAGAGATGCAGGTGCAATTTTGAAGTCACTGTTTCAAAATGTATAAATGTCTAACTCCTAAGATTAGTTTATTTGATATGCTAAACGCCTTTTTCTCTTGTTTGAAAATTTATCTGTTTCAGCTTGTAAAGAATGAAATTTGGCGGTCACATAGCTCCAATAGTGATTATGCCACGGGTTGCCTTTCTTCTGTTGTTCTTGATGGTAACCCCCCATGTTTAGCGTCTGAAAAAGATAGCAGATTTGTTTATCGTTTTCTGCATAATGGTTTTCCTTCTCTCAATGGGAGGACATCTGACATAGATTTTTCAAGCACCACTTCTTCAACAAAAGATGTAGATTGCACACTGAGATGTGGTGATTTTGTGGTATGTTCTACTTTCATAATGCGGGTTTTTGGTAGTTCACATGAACGCTGATTGTTTGTACTACTTTTAACATAAAGTTCTTACAGTAGCTGTGGATTTTATGTACTCGAAGTTGTTTCCCTGGATATGTCTGGTCTATTAAAGAACATGTAATGTTCATGATTCATTTATCAAGAATCTTTTTCTTTTCTGGATGGAATTCTTGTGCATAATAATATTGAAATACTTGTTTACCTTTCCAGTCATTCCCTAAGAACTTAACCATGTCAAATAAAGTAATCAATTAATTATATTAATTCATGTTCTGGTCTTCTCAAGTTCAAGGGTTTCAAGAAGTTGCATTTGTGCATGCGTGCGAGCTTCTTTTATATGCAAGCTAATTGGTATGAGTATGATTTTGTTTTCCCCCTGCTTTCATGTTAATTTGTGAAAGATTAAAGAACCAAATACAATTTTGCACATGTGTTAAAGATTTGAAAATTGCTAATTGTAAACTTGGTGATAATTCATGATGGTACACTTTTCTTTTATCCTCACTAACAATTTATTAATCACCGGTTGTTTGTTTATTGTTTAGATACTTAGTAGCAAATCTGGTAATCTACCCAGTTGCAAGTGGGATCATAACCGATTTAAGTCAGTCCCATGTTTCAGTAAGGATAATATCTGCCATATTTCCTGGAATCCTGTTCATATGTACTATTGTGAGCCCAAATATGGCTGACTAACGCTACAGTGGCAAAATCTTAAACTTAATGAGCAAATCAATCTTGTAATTGTAATATTTTCTGCAAAACTCGGGGTTTCTTTCTCTAAACACTTACGACTTCCTTGGAGCAACCCTTCTTCAGAGGCAAGTGATCTCCTTCAGGAGGTCTGGCGTGTTGACAAAGATGATTTCATGACATCATTTTCAGTAATGAGGTATTATACTCCTGAACTCTTCCTAGAAATTTCCATATCCAAACTTCTAGAATACTTCTCTGAAATACCCTGTCTAAGTTCATGCTTTTTGTTGCTGAAGGTTCAACCTTGTTCAACTTTTTCTTCAAGGTACACAAGCTGCTCACCTTAGAAAGATGATTGTTGACCTAGACGTAAGTTTTGGTGAATGGTATTGTATCAAATTTGCCGTCTTTTGCTAATTCTAACTCACTTATCTGTTGGTCTATATGTGTGAATTCTTTTTAGGCTCCTAGGTTTGACAATGGGTCTCCACTCAGCCAGGATCCAGCAATATCCTATGTCTGGTCCCAGAGAAATTTAAATGCTGTTCAGCGTCGAGCCATTCTTAAGGTTTTCTATACATCTATCTTTTTTCCATAATGCTTACTTATCATGTCCATTTTCCCACAGAAACTCTATCCTGAGGCTAAACTTGTTTGACGCTAATCTTTCAATTATCTATTGAATATGGACATTTACTAATTCAAAAATATCCAGATACTTACAGCAAAAGACTACGCTCTTATACTAGGAATGCCTGGAACGGGCAAGACATCCACCATGGTGCATGCTGTGAAAGCTCTGTTGATTAGAGGTTCATCTATTTTGCTTACGTCCTACACAAACTCTGCTGTTGATAATCTGCTTGTCAAATTACAGGCTGAGGTCATTTCTCTATTTCACATCTGTTGATAAGCTCGTTGTTTCTGTTATTATTATTAATTTTTTATTATTTGTTTTAGTTGGGGACGAACCAAAACTCTTGTTCCTAGCAATTTTATCCACTATTCAATCAAACCTAGGGCCATAGTTACCATTCACCATCGGGAACAATGCTCTTAGTTGATGTTTCTTTTCTTACTCTCTAAATTTGTGGCTGTATGGTTTACCCATTTTGCGTGCCATATTTTCTGTGAAACACTACTTCGGGTTTCCTTGTATTGAATTTAAAGCATGGCAGGATATTGATTTTATACGCATCGGAAGACATGAAGCCGTGCATGAAGAAATTCGAGGCCATTGCTTTTCAGGTCAGAGTTTATACTATTGAGAGTATTTTCGTTAGTATATAATTTAATTTCTTCTCAGCATTTGAATAGTGGTTTCTTTAATAGAGATGAACATTCAAAGTGTTGAAGGCATTAAGTTAATACTAAACCAAGTCAAGGTGGTTGCCGTTACATGTTTGGGGATCACCAGCCCCTTGCTTGCCAATAAGAGATTTGATGTATGCATCCTGGATGAAGCTGGACAGACCACCCTTCCAGTACGTACACTTTCTGATGGATATCTTGACATTGCAGTTATGGTTAATATAACCAGAGGCGGATATTAAGCTATACTATGGAGAGGCAACATGCTTTAAACTTGTTAGAGTCTATTCAATTGTTGTGATTGTTAAAAGCATGACTATTAGTACAAGCATAATATTTGAACATGCATTATGTTTAAAATTTTGGATAATTTATGGCGGCTCATGGAATTATATGTGCTGTAATGGCATACTTCGCTTGTGAAAATGAAAAAACAACTTGAATTTTTATTGATGGAGAAGATTAGCAAAGATGTGGCTAAGACCAAATTTTAGTACTTCACGATTTGGTATTCATTGTCAGGAGGTTAAGTGTAAGTAATCGAATCATTTTTCCCTGCTGTTAACACTTACAATCTTATGTGATTATTTGTCATGTTGCAAGTAAAAGGATTTAGGAAAAGAAAATCCATCTGTTGTTGTTTTGTATGTTAAATTAGTCGGAGTTGCGCTTAGATAGGTTGAATTTGTATTGTCTCTCCTTTAGGATTTTATTTATCTTTAAGTGAAGGTTGAAGTCACTGCTTATGTAGAACCTTATCAAAGGCAGTGATTCATGAGCAATTTTCTGTTCTATCAGGTATCTCTTGGGCCTCTGATGTTTGCTTCCAAGTTTGTCCTGGTTGGCGATCATTATCAATTACCTCCTCTGGTCAAGGTGTATATCATCGCATGTCTGTAGGGTTCTAATTGGTTGTTACGCTCTGAATTGTGGCTTGATGAAATGCCCTATGTTTTTCTATTTCCAGAGTATGGAAGCTCGAGAAAATGGAATGGGGGTAAGCTTGTTTTGTAGGCTTTCAGAAGTGCATCTCAGGCAATTTCAGCCTTGCAAGGCCAGGTTATAATTCATTTACTATTATGTGTGTGTGTGTAAATATTTTGGCACTTCTGTAGAAGTAATATTTATAAAACTGCTTGCATCCAGTACCGTATGTGTCAAGGCATTATGGAACTGTCAAATGCCTTGATTTATGGTGATCGACTTCGTTGTGGCTCTCCTGAAATAGAAAATGCGAAACTCAAGGTTTCAAGTTCAATATCTCATTCATTGTGGATACAGGAGGTAAGAGCAATTTTCAAAGGAATTCCATATTTCTATTGAAATGTATGCATGCTTATTCATGATTTCCACTTGCATTAAGAATTATACCTATATCCTTGTCCGGTCTACTCATAGGTGATAATCGTAGTGTTCATTTGATATCAAAATTCTCATTCAGTTTATGGCATCTTTCTTCTGCTTCTTTGTTCCAGATACATCCATACAGGTTATCTTCCAGATCATGTTGTGTGGCATTGGAAACTATTGAATATCATGTAAAAGAATTATGACTTGATGTTCATTACAACCTGTTAGCATGTTTAAAACTTAGACTGTGCTTAGGGAAATGTGATTTCCAATTTGGTTAATTCATGACGATATGATTTTGTCACAGATTTGGTTCAAGTGAATTCTTTCACATTTTTTGGCGTTTTGAAAACTAGTGCAATGAAATTGTCGTTTTCTTCAAACTTTGATGCAATTTTCATGTGTTTTAAAACTTTGTTGCAGGTTATATTTATTAATACAGGTTCACTGAAGTACTTTTATTTGTTTTCCATAATCTTTTCTTCTATATAAGCAGCGTTGGTTTGTTTGTCCCTTGGTTGTTTAGTATAATCACTTTTTGCAATGTAGATTCTTTACCTGCTTTTGAGGAAAAGGATCACAAGATTGTGAGTAACCCGACAGAAGCTAACATAATTGTACAGGTTAGATATTCGCTTGAACATATATAACACCATCATCCTTTTTTCCCCAAGAAAATATGTTTCTGATCTGTTGCAAACCGTTGAAGTAGCTTGTTTTAGCTAAATAAAATTCTCATTTTGCTTATAGGTTGTGGAGGGACTAGTCAAGAGTGGAATAAAGGGGGAAGATATCGGCGTCATTACCCCATATAACTCCCAGGCAGATATCATCCAGCTTGCCCTCAACCGCCTGACCTCTGTCAAGATGCATACCATTGACAAATACCAGGTCCGGTTGAAGGATTCACTTTCTACGCTGATGTTATTGTTTTCTTTATCTAACTATTTGTTTCTTTGAAAGCAGAAGGATGACATTGTTATATCTGTTTTCGGTTGTCATGATTCCACTATTATCTGATTTGCAATGCCTTTTCTATCCAGGGAAGAGACAAGGATTGTATACTAGTGTCCTTTGTTAGGTCAATGGAAAATCCAACGAATTGCTCCTCCTCGCTGCTCCGAGACTGGCATAGGATTAATGTCGCCCTCACTCGTGCCAAGGTAAGAACCACTTTGGTTTGGCCTTCTCACTCTATTATAATGTCGAAGATCATGTTCCAATCTGAATTTCCAGATTTTCTATGTTTTCGGAGTGACCAAACTTAGTAACATGTTTTTGTTTTTTCATTTTTATTTTGGTTTGATTTTGTAGAAAAAATTGATAATGGTTGGATCGCGCAAAACCCTATCGAATGTTGTGCTGATGAAACTTCTTATCGAGCAAGTTGAACAGCAGTCGGGCATCTTAAATGTATCGAACAAGGATATTAAGTTTAACAGCGAGTTAAGGAGATGCTCTCAGGCTCAGGTCAGATAGATGATTGATTGTAAATTTTCCATCCTGTTCGTCCAGTTTTGGTTGGTGACTGTACATACTGCTGCTGATTTATGAGGTTGAAGGTTGTATATTTAGAAAGATCTCTCTCTCTCTCTCTCTCATCTCTGAAGCATTCTTCAACAGCAAATTCTTCATTTTATTCTTTCCCTCAGAGTCTTCATGCAACATGGGACCCTTTTGTATCAAGAGATCACAATCAACCAAGCGCGCAAGTGACTGAACTGCAGAATTCCGAAACTTAAAAGTAGCAATTCTAAATGCAAGTATAAAAGTGGAGTGGCAAGGGGTTGAGCTCAACTGAAAGGATTCTGAGCTCGATTCCATTGTTTTCCCCACATCAATTAATTCTAGTAGTGAGTACATCGTCCTCGAACCATCATTTGTGTTTTTATACAAGCGATATCTAAGTCTGCGTGCCCAAAATACAATTTAGAAGGCAAATTTTATAAGGCAAACCAGATGATATCATTTTGTCTCCAAAAGTTTCTGACTTGCAATTCTACAAAATTCTTTAAATTATAAAATGTAGGTTCATTCTTCATACAAACAGAATAGAAGTGAAAAGAATGGTAAGGAAAGAGGAAAGCAAAGTGAAAAAAACTAGAGTAACAATTTAACGATAAGGCAACAGACAAAATAGCAAACTAATATGGTAGTTTGATTGAAACAATATGGTGGTAGACAACATTCACTTCTCAACAAATTATGGCTTAAGACGCTTTCAGGGAAAAACAAGGTATTTATTTAAGTATGATGATGATTTTGAAGTTTTAGATCCTCCTATTGTCGCTCCAGTTAGAAGATGCGATTACGGGACAGAGGTCCAGGGCCGAAGAGGTAGAGGAAGACTTAAGAAAACTTTGGAAGAGACTCTAAGAAAAGAATTAGAGTGCTTGGAATCGAGCGTAATGACGTTTTAGAATTCATATAGCCGACCCCACTTTGTGGGAAAAGACTTTGTTGTTGATTTTTTTTCGAGGTTTAGGAGCGTATTGCCTGCAAAAAAGGACTTCGTTAGCCCAAATATGCGTGTGAAACAACGGAATTCTTTCGAAATTAAAGTTGCATGCGATTGTGCAGGCTTCATTCCATGCGTGTTCTTGTTTTGTAATTGCCTGCGAAACTGTTCGGTCAGAAGCTACCAAATAATTCAAAGTCGGTAGGATCTCACTAATAACCGGCCTCTTGGCTCCTGTAATACAGCAGCCCTCCAATCTCGAAAAGATAGCAAGCAAATACAAGACTGTAATGAATACCCATCTTTTGCGTAGAAAAATTAACATCATTCATTTTGACTGCTCTCTTGTTCCAACAGATTTCATATTGAATAAGTTGCAGAACATTCAAGGGTGAAATGTAATTGGATGAGTTGTACAATATTGATTTTGAGTTTTTATTTTCTAAACGGGTGTAAAGATAGATCGACATATTGAATTGGGCTACCGAGGGACAATTTAGGTAGTAAGTTTGGGCTTCTTAATCATTTAACACATGGATTCCAATACATACTTACAAAACCATTTCCCTTTATTCTTGGCTATGGCAGCCCTCAATATGCAGGTAAACAACATAACGAAAAATAGCAACTCCCTACGCTCTAGAGACTGGAGATCGTAAACGAACTTGGCCTCTGTCCGTACCCTCTTCCCGAATATTGTAAAATCCTTGTATTTCTCTTCAGCATCGGCACGAAAATGATCATGTCAAATCTCTTTTTGTGTTCTAGTCACTGACATTACAGATATCCCTCAAGCACAACACTCTCATTGGAAATCTTAGGCTGCAAATTCTCCACTTTCAGTCTTTTGCCCAGATCCTTCAATGCAACAGGAAAGTTCCGGACATCATTTTCATCCCACAGTGGCAATACTTCCACCACAATTTTTTGCAGCAAATTCTGCTCAATACCATCTTGGAGAAACTCTTCAAAATCACTAACATTTCCTTTTAAGTCGAACAAAACACTACACATTCCTTGAGAGTTACAGTATTCCAAAATAGCATTTAAGCTTATTTGATCAAACACCACTGTTTCGATACCTGTTTGAGCTCTCTCTAGTTCTACCGATGTCTCCTTGTCTGCAAAGACTATTAGCTTATCTGTGGGTTCCACTGTGAGAGCAGAGATTTTGATTGGAGAACTAATATTCCTAGCTATTACAATCCGAAGTGGTTGATTGGCTCCAGCTTCTTTGGACGCGGGAATAGAGACGTTCTCCATTATTGAGGAAGGAGAAAGAATAACTGCATCATATTCCTGTAACAATTGCGAATAGTAACCACCAGACGTGGCAGCTCCTTCCCCAAGCTGATCCAGAAAGCGTCCATTGACTGAGATCGAGTATCTGCAGACAAGAGGAAAGTCTCAACTTCACAGTACCAAGCAAACAAATAAAAAAATTCTTTTGGTTACACAGCACAACAATCAAAGACATCACAGCTCGAATAAGGTATCATTTCCACTCATTTTTATGTCCATTGATTTTCTCTTGCTATGGACTACTGTAAACAGAATAAATTTACCTGATAGTGACGAAAGGATTCCCCGTTAGCATACGATGGATATACGCCTCATTTAGCCTCCTGCATAATTCTTCCTCTACGCACGTAGCAACATCAATTCCTGCATCTCTTAATCTATCCAATCCCCTTGATGCTACAATTGGATTCGGATCCACCATTCCGACCACCACTCTTTTCACCTTGGCTTTGATTAGTGCTTCACTGCATGGTGGAGTTCTCCCATAATGATTACATGGTTCCAAGCTCACATATGCTGTTGCATTCTCAGCCAAATCCCCAGCATCTCTCAGAGCAAAGACCTGTAACATTTAACTTCCGGGTATAAATTTTCATTAACAGCTACTTATAAAGCTCATGTCAAAAGATAAAACACTTAGACAGCATGTAGTATCCACCTATGCTTTCATTCTTTCAACTTCTAACTCATCTCTCTTGCGTCAATTGGATAAAGAGATATTGAACTCTAATTTGGGGTGTTTTTTTTTTTTTTTTTTGTTTTGTTTTGTTTTGTTTTGTTTTGTTTTGTACTCAATTGGAGAGTAAAAGATTGGAAGCTATTCATCAGGAAAAAAAAAAAAGATTGGAAGCCTGTGATCTAAATCTTGAGCAGTTGCATGAATTACAAACTCTATTGGGACACTTTGAGGAGATCTTTGTCTTGCCATACAAGTTACCTCCTAGTAGGTCCCATGATCATTATATACCCCTCATTCTAGGTTCCAAGCCTCCCAATATAAGACCCTGTCACTATGGTAGTGCAAGAATTGCTAGATTTGGGGTTCATCAGACCTAGCCACATCCCTTTTTCTTTTCCTGTGCTATTGGTAAAAAAGAAATAAGGTAGTTTGAGGCTCTGTATAGGCTATAGAGAGTTGAGTTCACTTATTTTCAAGGACAAATATCTTATCCCTCTAATTGATGACTTATTGGATGAACTGTATAGGGCTATATACTTCTCTAAGCTTGATCTAGGTATGGATATCACCAAATTCGAATAAGTACTAAAGATATATAGAAAACAACATGCAGAACTCATGAAAGATACTATAAGTTTTTTGTTATGCCATTTGGCCTCACCAATGCTCTAGCCACCTTCCGAAAACTCACGAATGACATTTTCAAGCCCTATCTCAGAAAATTCATTCTAGTCTGTTTCGATGATATCTTGGTTTACAATAGGAATTGGGAGAATCACTTGAGTCATCTTAAACTGCATTTGAAGTTCTTAAGCAACATCAATTATTTGTCAAGAAACAGAAATGTTCTTTTGGTCAACTCAAGATTGAGTACTTCGGCCATGTGGTATCTCAAAATGGGGTTGAAGCTGATCTAGCAAAAATTCAAGACATAATTGCTTGGCCTACACCTACCATTATCAAATTATTGAGAAGATTCCTAGGCCTCACTGGTTATTACAGGAAGTTTGTCCCCAGTTATCGCAAGATATGTCAACCCCTACATCAACTCACCAAGAAAGATGGCTTTATTTGGTCCACTGAAGTAAATGAGGCATTTAAGAAGCTAAAATTTACAATGGTATCTCCTCAGGTCCTGGCATTACCCAATTTCTCACTTCCATTTGAATTAGAGTGTTGATGATTCAGATTTAGCAATATGAGCAATTTTGCAACAACAAGGCAGGCTTATTGCTTTCACAAGCAAGGCTTTGGCCCCTAAAAACCAGTCTCTATCAACTTATGAAAGAGAACTTATGTATATTGGCCATGTTGTCAAGACATGGCACAATTATCTTCAAGGAAGACACTTCATTATCAACTCAGACCATAGCAGCTTAAAGTTCTTTTTGAATCAAAGAGCCATCGCACCCCTTTAGGAAAAATAATATACTGCCTAATGCAAACAATCTGTACACCAATTTCGTCATGTGATATTCACTTGACTGATTAATTATTATTTGGATCCTTGAAATCTCCATGTCATCAGTAAATTATTGAAACCATTCCTATTGACTTTTTTGCACCCCCTGCCATTTAGGCCTCTCAAGAAATTGACTGATGGAGAACCTTAGTTCTACTGTATGTTTCAATGCAACCCTTGACAATCATTAACATAACCAGTCTTCAATGTTGATAGGAATGGAAACAATTTTAATGCCATTGCCGTCAAGAAAGTCTTGCAACACTTTCTATATCACATCACCCTATAAGCTACTAAGAATAAGTAGATTTAGCCTTCATCCAGTTTGTAAGTCCTTCAAAAGATTCTGACTAAAGAGATCACTAGATCTAGCTTGGTTTCATTGAAACTTATAATTACTAAAGACGACCCTTGCAAACATATGATTGACGGATCTATTCTCTGATTTTACAGAGTTTCCACATCCCTCATGGCCCATGTAAAATATTAAGTTTAAAACTAGGTTTCCTATGAAAAAATTTGCGTAATCACACAGGAAACCTCAATATAAGCAAAATATTCATCAGTATCATACTTTAAGAAGTGTTTTTCCATTGGCCATCACCTTTAATTCCACATGGAGGAAGCACAGAGGGCAGTGGTCTGGCAGATTTGTTTGATTCAAATACTCAGCGCCCAACAAATGCTCATGGTGTTTTCCTAGGGTTGTGGGATTGGTTGATTGAATTGGAAGCTAAAGAGATGCAGGTGCAATTTTGAAGTCACTGTTTCAAAATGTATAAATGTCTAACTCCTAAGATTAGTTTATTTGATATGCTAAACGCCTTTTTCTCTTGTTTGAAAATTTATCTGTTTCAGCTTGTAAAGAATGAAATTTGGCGGTCACATAGCTCCAATAGTGATTATGCCACGGGTTGCCTTTCTTCTGTTGTTCTTGATGGTAACCCCCCATGTTTAGCGTCTGAAAAAGATAGCAGATTTGTTTATCGTTTTCTGCATAATGGTTTTCCTTCTCTCAATGGGAGGACATCTGACATAGATTTTTCAAGCACTACTTCTTCAACAAAAGATGTAGATTGCACACTGAGATGTGGTGATTTTGTGGTATGTTCTACTTTCATAAAGCGGGTTTTTGGTAGTTCACATGAACGCTGATTGTTTGTACTACTTTTAACATAAAGTTCTTACAGTAGCTGCGCATTTTATGTACTCGAAGTTGTTTCCCTGGATATGTCTGGACTATTAAAGAACATGTAATGTTCATGATTCATTTATCAAGAATCTTTTTCTCTCTGGTGTGTACTTTTACCCTAGTACATCTTTTGTTGCATGACTGTTTATTGCCCTATGGATTTAGATATGTAAGATGATGGGTTCTACATTAAGATTTTCAGATGTTTTATTAAGATGTCGAATGTAAGTAGTTACGCATGATTGTGTTTTCTGGCACCTTTTCCTTTGATATTTGATAAACATAACAACAATTATTGGGTATTGACTTGAGATAAATAAACGTATTAACAATGTTAGAACAGAACTTCTAGATATGGAATCAATCTCATACTTATCATATGTTTCATTGTTTTTTTTGGTACACATGCAGGCACTGCTTGTAAACTGTCACTGCCTAACAATATTTCAACAAAAAGGAAACTTCAAAGCCTCTTCTGCCCTAATTCCTTCCCTCCCACAATCACTGGAGTTTTTTTGATTCAGAAAAAAAAAAAAAAAATTCAAATATAAGTTGGAAACGAAACCATCAAACAATACTAGGAACCAAATTTGCGCCCGTTTGAATTCTTTTTCTTTTCTGGACGGAATTCTTGTGCATAATAATATTGAAATACTTGTTTACCTTTCCAGTCATTCCCTAAGAACTTAACCATGTTAAATAAAGTAATCAATTAATTATATTAATTCATGTTCTGGTCTTCTCAAGTTCAAGGGTTTCAAGAAGTTGCATTTGTGCATGCGTGCGAGCTTCTTTTATATGCAAGCTAATTGTTATGAGTATGATTTTGTTTCCCCCCTGCTTTCATGTTAATTTGTGAAAAATTAAAGAACCAAATACAATTTTGCACGTGTTAAAGATTTGAAAAGTGCTAATTGTAAACTTGGTGATAATTCATGATGGTACACTTTTCTTTTATCCTCACTAACAAATTATTAATCACCGGTTGTTTGTTTATTGTTTAGATACTTAGCAGCAAATCTGGTAATCTACCCGTTGCAAGTGGGATCATAACCGATTTAAGTGAGTCCCATGTTTCAGTAAGGATAATATCTGCCATATTTCCTGGAATCCTGTTCATATGTACTATTGTGAGCCCAAATATGGCTGACTAATGCTACAGTGGCAAAATCTTAAACTTAATGAGCAAATCAATCTTGTAATTGTAATATTTTCTGCAAAAATCTAGGTTTCTTTCTCTAAACACTTACGACTTCCTTGGAGCAACCCTTCTTCAGAGGCAAGTGATCTCCTTCAGGAGGTCTGGCGTGTTGACAAAGATGATTTCATGACATCATTTTCAGTAATCAGGTATTATACTCCTGAACTCTTCCTAGAAATTTCCATATCCAAACTTTTAGAATACTTCTCTGAAATACCGTCTAAGTTCATGCTTTTTGTTGCTGAAGGTTCAACCTTGTTCAACTTTTTCTTCAAAGTACACAAGCTGCTCACCTTAGAAAGATGATTGTTGACCTAGACGTAAGTTTTGGTGAATGGTATTGTATCAAATTTGCCGTCTTTTGCTAATTCTAACTCGCTTTTCTGTTGGTCTATATGTGTGAATTCTTTTTAGGCTCCTAGGTTTGACAATGGGTCTCCACTCAGCCAGGATCCAGCAATATCCTATGTCTGGTCCCAGAGAAATTTAAATGCTGTTCAGCGTCGAGCCATTCTTAAGGTTTTCTATACATCTATCTTTTTTCCATAATGCTTACTTATCATGTCCATTTTCCCACAGAAACTCTATCCTCAGGCTAAACTTGTTTGACACTAATCTTTCAATTATCTATTGAATATGGACATTTACTAATTCAAAAATATCCAGATACTTACAGCAAAAGACTACGCTCTTATACTAGGAATGCCTGGAACGGGCAAGACATCCACCATGGTGCATGCTGGGAAAGCTCTGTTGATTAGAGGTTCATCTATTTTGCTTACGTCCTACGCAAACTCTGCTGTTGATAATCTGCTTGTCAAATTAAAGGCTGAGGTCATTTCTCTATTTCACATCTGTTGATAAGCTTGTTTTTTCTGTTATTATTATTAATTTTTTATTGTTTGTTTTAGTTAGGGACGAACCAAAACTCTTGTTCCTAGCAATTTTATCCACTATTCAATCAAACCTAGGGCCATAGTTACCATTCATCATTGGGAACAATGCTCTTAGTTGATGTTTCTTTTCTTACTCTCTAAATTTGTGGGTGTATGGTTTACCCATTTTGCGTGCCATATTTTCTGTGAAACACTACTTCGGGTTTCCTTGTATTGCATTTAAAGCATGGCAGGATATTGATTTTACACGCATCCGAAGACATGAAGCTGTGCATGAAGAAATTCGAGGCCATTGCTTTTCAGGTCAGAGTTTATACTATTGAGAGTATTTTCGTTAGTATATAATTTAATTTCTTCTCAGCATTTGAATAGTGGTTTCTTTAATAGAGATGAACATTCAAAGTGTTGAAGGCATTAAGTTAATATTAAACCAAGTCAAGGTGGTTGCCGTTACATGTTTGGGATCACCAGCCCCTTGCTTGCCAATAAGAGATTTGATGTATGCATCATGGATGAAGCTGGACAGACCACCCTTCCAGTACGTACACTTTCTGATGGATATCTTGACATTGCAGTTATGGTTAATATAACCAGAGGCGGATATTAAGCTATACTATGGAGAGGCAACATGCTTTAAACTTGTTAGAGTCTATTCAATTGTTGTGATTGTTAAAAGCATGACTATTAGTACAAGCATAATATTTGAACATGCATTATGTTTAAAATTTTGGATAATTTATGGTGGCTCATGGAATTATATGTTCTGTAATGGCATACTTCACTTGTGAAAATGAAAAAACAACTTGAATTTTTATTGATGGAGAAAATTAGCAAAGATGTGGCTAAGACCAAATTTTAGTCCTTCACGATTTGGTATTCGTTGTCAGGAGGTTAAGTGTAAGTAATCGAATCATTTTTCCCTGCTGTTAACACTTACTATCTTATGTGATTATTTGTCTTGTTGCAAGTAAAAGGATTTAGGAAAAGAAAATCCATCTGTTGTTGTTTTGTATGTTAAATTAGTCGGAGTTGCACTTAGATAGGTTGAATTTGTATTGTCTCTCTTTTAGGATTTTATTTATCTTTAAGTGAAGGTTGAAGTCACTGTTTATGTAGAACCTTATCAAAGGCAGTGATTCATGAGCAATTTTCTGTTCTATCAGGTATCTCTTGGGCCTCTGATGTTTGCTTCCAAGTTTGTCCTGGTTGGCGATCATTATCAATTACCTCCTCTGGTCAAGGTGTATATCATCGAATGTCTGTAGGGTTCTAATTGGTTGTTACGCTCTGAATTGTGGCTTGATGAAATGCCCTATGTTTTTCTATTTCCGGAGTATGGAAGCTCGAGAAAATGGAATGGGGGTAAGCTTGTTTTGTAGGCTTTCAGAAGTGCATCTTCAGGCAATTTCAGCCTTGCAAGGCCAGGTTATAATTCATTTACTATTATGTGTGTGTGTATATATTTTGGCACTTCTGTAGAAGTAATATTTATAAAACTGCTTGCATCCAGTACCGTATGTGTCGAGGCATTATGGAACTGTCAAATGCTTTGATTTATGGTGATCTTCTGTGTTGTGGCTCTCCTGAAATAGAAAATGCGAAACTCAAGGTTTCAAGTTCAATATCTCATTCATTGTGGATACAGGAGGTAAGAGCAATTTTCAAAGGAATTCCATATTTCTATTGAAATGTATACATGCTTATTCATGATGTGCACTTACATTAAGAATTATACCTATATCCTTGTCCGGTCTACTCATAAGCGATAATTGTAGTGTTCTTTTGATATCAAAATTCTCATTCAGTTTATGGCATCCTTCTGCTTCTTTGTTCCAGATACATCCATACAGGTTATCTTCCAGATCATGTTGTGTGGCATTGGAAACTATTGAATATCATGTAAAAGAATTATGACTTGATGTTCATTACAACCTGTTAGCATGTTTAAAACTTAGACTGTGCTTAGGGAAATATGATTTCCAACTTGGTTTAATTCATGACGATATGATTTTGTCACAGATTAGGTTCAAGTGAATTGTTTCACATTTTTTGGCGTTTTGAAAACTAGTGCAATGAAATTGTCGTTTTCTTCAAACTTTGATGCAATTTTCATGTGTTTTAAAACTTTGTTGCAGGTTATAAACCCAAGCAAGCCAGTTATATTTATTAATACAGGTTCACTGAAGTACTTTTATTTGTTTTCCATAATCTTTTCTTCTATATAAGCAGCATTGGTTTGTTTGTCCCTTGGTTGTTCAGTATAATCACTTTTTGCAATGTAGATTCTTTACCTGCTTTTGAGGAAAAGGATCACAAGATTGTGAGTAACCCGACAGAAGCTAACATAATTGTACAGGTTAGATATTCGCTTGAACATATATAACGCCATCATCCTTTTTTCCCCAAGAAAATATGTTTCTGATCTGTTGCAAACCGTTGAAGTAGCTTGTTTTAGCTAAATAAAATTCTCATTTTGCTTATAGGTTGTGGAGGGACTAGTCAAGAGTGGAATAAAGGGGGAAGATATCGGTGTCATTACCCCATATAACTCCCAGGCAGATATCATCCAGCTTGCCCTCAACCGCCTGACCTCTGTCGAGATACATACCATTGACAAATACCAGGTCCGGTTGAAGGATTCACTTTCTACACTGACGTTATTGTTTTCTTTATCTAACTATTTGTTTCTTTGAAAGCAGAAGGATGACATTGTTATATCTGTTTTCAGTTGTCATGATTCCACTATTATCTGATATGCAATGCCTTCTTTTCTATCCAGGGAAGAGACAAGGATTGTATACTAGTGTCCTTTGTTAGGTCAACGGAAAATCCAACGAATTGCTCCTCCTCGCTGCTCCGAGACTGGCATAGGATTAATGTCGCTCTCACTCATGCCATGGTAAGAATCACTTTGGTTTGGCCTTCTCACTCTATTATAATGTCGAAGATCATGTTCCAATCTGAATTTCCAGATTTTCTACGTTTTCGGAGTGACCAGTAACATGTTTTTGTTTTTTTATTTTTATTTTGGTTTGCTTTTGTAGAAAAAATTGATAATGGTTGGATCGCACAAAACCCTATCGAATGTTGTGCAGATGAAAATTCTTATCGAGCAAGTTGAACAGCAGTTGGGCATCTTAAATGTATCAAACAAGGATATTAAGTTTAACGGCGAGTTAAGGGGATGCTCTCAGGCTCAGATCAGATAGATGATTGATTGTAAATTTTCCATCCTGGTCGTCCAGTTTTGGTTGGTGACTGTGCATATGCTGCTGATGTATGAGGTTGAAAGTTGTATATTTAGAAAGATCTCTCTCTCTCTCTCTCTCTCTCTCAGACATTCTTTCAACAGAAAATTCTTCATTTTTATTCTTTCCCTCAGAGTCTTCAATGCAACCGGGACCCTTTTGTATCAAGAGATCACAATCACCAATGCGCGGGTGACTGAACTTGGCATAATTCTAAACTAAAAGTAGCATACTAATGCAATATAAAGTGGAGTGCAAGGGGTTTGCAGCTCAACTGACAAGGATTCTGAGCTCGATTCATTTTGTTTTTATACAAGCGATATACTAAGTCTGCGTGCTCGAACTACAATTTAGAAGTCAGATTTTATAAGGCAAACCAGATGATGTCTTTTTGTCTCCAAAAGTTTCTGACTTGCAATTCTACAAAATTCTTTAAATTATAAAATGTAGCTTCATTCTTCATACAAACACAATAGAAGTGAAAAGAATGGTAAGGAAAGAGGAAAGCAAGTGAAAAAAACTAGAGAAACAATTTAACGATAAGGCAACAGACAAAATAGCAAACTAATATGGTGGTTTGATTGAAGCAATATGGTGGCAGACAACATTCACTTCTCAACAAATTATGGGTTAAGACGCTTTCAGGGAAAAACAAGGTCTTTTTTTAGGTATGATGATGATTTTGAAGTTTTAGATCCTCCTACTGACGTTCCGGTTAGAAGATGTGACTACGGTACAAAGGTCCAGGGCCGAGGGGGTAGAGGAAGACTTAGGAAAACTTTGGAAGAGACTCTAAGAAAAGAATTAGAGTACTTGGATCTAACGGAGGACATGAAACAGAACCGAGCGTAATGACGTTCTAGGATTCATATAGCCGACCCCACTTAGTGGGAAAAGATTTTGTTGTTGTTTTTTTTTCGAGGTTCAGGAGCGTATTGCCTGCAAAAAAGGACTTTGTTAGCCCAAATATGCGTGTGAAACAACCGAATTCTTTCGAAATTAAAGTTGCAGCATGCGATTGTGCAGGCTTCATTCCATGCGTGTTTTTGTTTTGTAATTGCCTGCGAAACTGTTCGGTCAGAAGCTACCAAATAATTCAAAGTCGGTAGGATCTCACTAATAAACGGCCTCTTGGCTCCTGTAATACAGCAGCCCTCCAATCTCGAGAAGATAGCAAGCACATAGAAGACTGCAATGAATACCCATCTTTTGCGTAGAAAAATTAACATCATTCATTTTGACTGCTCTCTTGTTCCAACAGATTTCACATTGAATATGTTGCAGAACATTCACGGGTGAAATGTAATTGGATGAGTTGTACAATATTGATTTTGAGTTTTGATTTTCTAAACAGGTGTAAAGATAGATCGACATATTGAATTGGGCTACCGAGGGACAATTTAGGTAGTAAATTTGGGCTTATTAATCATTTAACACATGGATTCCAATACAAACTTACAAAACCATTTCCCTTCATTCTTGGCTATGGCAGCCCTCAATATGCAGGTAAACAACATAACGAAAAATAGCAACTCCCTACGCTCTAGAGACTGGAGATCGTAAACGAACTTGGCCTCTGTCCGTACCCTCTTCCCGAATATTGTAAAATCCTTGTATTTCTCTTCAGCATCGGCACGAAAATGATCATGTCAAATCTCTTTTTGTGTTCTAGTCACTGACATTACAGATATCCCTCAAGCACAACACTCTCATTGGAAATCTTAGGCTGCAAATTCTCCACTTTCAGTCTTTTGCCCAGATCCTTCAATGCAACAGGAAAGTTTCGGACATCATTTTCATCCCACAGTGGCAATACTTCTACCACAATTTTTTGCAGCAAATTCTGCTCAATACCATCTTGGAGAAACTCTTCAAAATCACTAACATTTCCTTTAAGTCGAACAAAACACTACACATTCCTTGAGAGTTACAGTATTCCAAAATAGCATTTAAGCTTATTTGATCAAACACCACTGTTTCGATACCTGTTTGAGCTCTCTCTAGTTCTACCGATGTCTCCTTGTCTGCAAAGACTATTAGCTTATCTGTGGGTTCCACTGTGAGAGCAGAGATTTTGATTGGAGAACTAATATTCCTAGCAATTATAATCCGAAGTGGTTGATTGGCTCCAGCTTCTTTGGATGCGGGAATAGAGACGTTCTCCATTATTGAGGAAGGAGAAAGAATAACTGCATCATATTCCTGTAACAATTGCGAATAGTAACCACCAGACGTGGCAGCTCCTTCCCCAAGCTGATCCAGAAAGCGTCCATTGACTGAGATCGAGTATCTGCAAACAAGAGGAAAGTCTCAACTTCACAGTACCAAGCAAACAAATAAAAAAATTCTTTTGGTTACACAGCACAACAATCAAAGACATCACGGCTCGAATAAGGTATCATTTCCACTCATTTTTATGTCCATTGATTTTCTCTTGCTATGGACTACTGTAAACAGAATAAATTTACCTGATAGTGACGAAAGGATTCCCCGTTAGCATACGATGGATATACGCCTCATTTAGCCTCCTGCATAATTCTTCCTCTACGCACGTGGCAACATCAATTCCTGCATCTCTTAATCTATCCAATCCCCTTGATGCTACAATTGGATTTGGATCCACCATTCCGACCACCACTCTTTTCACTTTGGCTTTGATTAGTGCTTCACTGCATGGTGGAGTTCTCCCATAATGATTACATGGTTCCAAGCTCACATATGCTGTTGCATTCTCAGCCAAATCCCCAGCATCTCTCAGAGCAAAGACCTGTAACATTTAACTTCCGGGTATAAATTTTCATTAACAGCTACTTATAAAGCTCATGTCAAAAGATAAAACAATTAGACAGCATGTAGTATCCACCTATCCTTTCATTCTTTCAACTTCTAACCGATCTCTCTTGCTCTCTGCAAACGCACGGACACAGAAGGACCCCACCATTACTAAACTAATAATTTAAAAACTTTATAAGCACAAAACTTTTAGAACGTCTGATGCACCTATAGCAAGAGCTGAAATAGGAAGAGAATTCCAGAATCCGGATTGCTATCCCCATGCGAACATTTTCAGCTAAATGCTCCACAGTGGTGAAGAAAATATAATTGGAAATTTAACATAACCCCAGAAAGAACAGGACCATGCTATCCAAAAAATAAAAAGTTGAAAGAATCAGTGTGCAGGTATATACTTCCCTTTATTTATTTTTAGTGATCTTTCCAAAATATTTTAACTTGTAAGTTGTAAGCAACCAAACAAAGAGCAAAGTGACCGATAATTTTGACCACCTCATTACTCAAACCGGTATCCATGCATTGAGAAGCAGAACTAAAACTGAGGAAAGAAGTTTACCTCAGCATGCGGCTGGCCAGCTTTTGGGTGAAAGCCTTCACCAACAACCTTGCCATCCTTGACAATAACACAACCCACCATAGGATTGGGGCTGGTGCACCCGATAGCCGTTCTTGCAAGCTCCACACACCTCCTCATGTAGAACCCATCATCTGTATCCTCTTGTTGTGCCACTCCACACGTGACCCCAACAAACTTACCATGGGTTCTTAAACCAGTTGGTGATTTCGACACCCTTTTGAAGGAACTGCAAAAACCCGATTTGGGACTTGGATTCAACCTCAAAAGCTTAGTGGAAAGTTGCTGAGATAGTGAGCCATTGGGTGGACTTAGGGTGTAACTTGGGAGTGAAAGTTTTTGAACTTGCATTTCTTTTGTTTGTAAATGTAAACCTCCGATCAGAGTTTTGCAACTTCAGCCAGATTTGTTGAAATGAGTGCAACTCCCTGAGTGAGCCTCGGGTTGTTCCCACTCTTTAAGGCCAACTTATTCACTGTAAGAGCTGAGCAGCACAGATTTTCCGTTGTTTCAGTTTCTTAGAAACTGTGTTTCTGCAAAGCAAATGAATCAAGAACTAAAGAGAGAGACTAGAAATGCAGATAAACAGCGGCCATATGGAGTTCTATCGCCTCAATCTCTTACTGTGAGATCACTTGTGCGTATATTATCTTCTGATAACAGATATTTTAACTTGTAATCTAAATCCCCATTAGCACAACCACAATTCCTCTAAACCCAACGATAAACTAAACCCATTTTCCCCTTTCCTCGAGAAATCATGCCCAAGCACCTTATGCAGGTTCGATTCCCACCGATTTCCCTCCCCTGACAAATAACTATTTAACACACTAACGCTATCGGTCTACTTCAAAATAACTGAATCTGGAGACTGGAGATGCATACAATATAGAAAAAATGAAAGACACGAACTTAAATCTAGTCCCATATATACGATTGAAACCCAGAACCCAAGTACAATCAGTGTTACAAAAACTTGAACCAATTGAAGTCAAGAGTTGTTTAACAAAGAGAGCAAATCGTTTACCTTTGTGGCTGTGGGAATACCAGTTTCAACGAGGAATTGAAATGGGTGCAAATTCTTGTCAATCTTTCCCTTGAAAATGTAAAAATCAGGAAAAAAAGTGGAAAATGTAAAAATCAGGCAAAAAGTGGAAGAAATTGTTGGCAGCCAGCGTTTGATCGGGAGACTGAACCCAAAAACAAAAAAAAAAATTGGGATTGAAAGGATACTGTTGGCAGTAGGAAACTGGTAAAAATGTAACGTTAAAAAGTGTCTGAGCTCGGGTTCGAACCGGGGACCTCTAGTGTGTGAGACTAGCGTGATAACCGACTACACCACCCAGACAACTTGCTGATAGTGCTTCAGTTAACTATAATAACGTCTCGTTAGTAATTTCTATGCCAAGATTGTTTTATTCTCACTAAATTAGGTATATTGTTTTAACAATATAAGAATTTTATGTGGTTTTTATTTTTTTTTATTTTTTTATTATTTTTTTAATAAATTTGGGAGGGGGAGTTTCAAACCCAATACATATGAGTAGAAACTCAAACACCCTATCTATTAGAATATTGGACTACATGCAGTTACTAAAACATGAATATTGGAATATTTGAATTTATGATTTTTTTTTGTGTTTACTTAAACATGAATATTGGAATTATCATGGCCAGGGCTGAGGGAAGGCGTAAAGAAAGGTTATATGCATATTGAAGTGGAAAGTTGCAGTAGTAAAAATTCACAGTCTTCGGTCTTGACGAATTTGTACCAATAAACTAAATAAACACTTCTGATTAAAGACCAAAGCCACAAACTCAAGGTGTGGGGGAGGGGGTTAGCCAATATAACTCCGATGCCTAAGTTAGTTTTCTGAAAAAGAGAGAGGTTTAGAGCTTAATTGCATAGCAAAAACTTACCAAAATTTAGTAGGAATGGGGTATTTATAGGAGTTAGGGTTGCGTACATGTGTAGGTTTTCCATGTCATGTGTCGTCCGGTTGGTCAAGGTGTGTCATCTGTTGGATGGAGGAGAAATGATTATCCCAAAGATATTATTAATTAAATACCTTATTGGGATTATCTTGTAATATTTTTGATTGGATGTGTTTATGATTCCTTACTTGATTGAATTGGTCTTCAATTCGAAAAAATATAAAGATAAGATTTATCAATTAATCCTATCTTTAATACCTTTGACATTTCTCCTTGCCATGGGTAGAAGAGCTTGATGAGGTTGTTGTTAGATGCTCAAGTCTTCAAGAGAGTTTAACTGCCAATGGAATAAATGTGGGTCTCGCAAATTTAATAAGGGCATTCTTGTTATTAGCTGGTAAAAGTTCATGTGTCAACTCCAGGATTTTTCGAATCAAATACCCCCACACCTGCTTTGTTGCATGCAAGAAAGGGCAAGAGGGGTAGAAATCCCAAGTTAAGTGGATAAGACAGAAGAGTTGATCGTCGTCGTCTTCTTCATTGTAGCTGCACCAAAGGTAAGAAAAAATAAAACTTTTCCTCTTCTTTTTTATTTTTGTTGTAGGTGAGCCGTGTTAGGATGATGACGTGCAAGGTACTGCAATGTAGACTTGGGTTAGCTCGGGTGAAGCCGAGGTGCTTGGAAGAGGTGGGCCAATGGGCTTGCCTCGCTAGGTTGGATTGAGAAAGAGAAGAATAGCTGAGTGCAAGGCGATTTCTACATGAGTGGGCCTATGAGCCAACTGGAGAGAGAGATGGCTCGTGAGGCCTAAGCACTTAGTCATTAGGTTCTTGTGGTTCTAGGCTAAGGGGTGGCACGCTAAGCAGTGTCCTGGTGTGCTAGCTCTATTTATTATTTTCTTTATATCTCTTTGGCAATCTTCTAAGCACCTTATTGGTGTTTTTGCAAAGGAAGTTTTCAATATGCCTTCTTCTAGCTACAAAAGTGACGAGTATCTTCTGCCTAAGTATTGTCAGGGTGGGTCTTACTGTGAAGTCGGTTACTTTATGGTTGCTCAAGTTAAGATTGGTTATAATGAGCTATTTGAGGATTTTCTTGAGACATATAAGCACACAATCCCATTCGGAGTTCTTGTGAAGCGCGTGAAAGGTGGAAGTAATAATAATTCATGTACTGAGGTTGCTAAAGCGAGGAAGAGAGCTATCAAGTTTCACCCGACTACTTCACAATGAGATTGATCTTTCTTATGTCGCGCTTTCTCCTATGAGGTGTGCTCTTGCTCAATGCTCCCTGAATTCAATTTGTGCGAGGGTGGGATTCTTAAACTTGAGCAAGTTCTTCGATTTAGGCTTGAACATCAATGAGTTCTAGTATTTTCCGAGGTTGACAACAATGATGGCGTGGGGCAGTGAAGTCTCGCCAAAAGCTTTTCGACTCCTAGAGCATGAGTGATCATGAATGGGTCAAGGAGGCTCTGGAGGTAAGTGATAGTGGGAGTCTTTGGAGGTAAGTGGAGAGTGGGAGTCAGTCTCTTCGCCTGAGCTGCATGTTCTGACTGCTTGGAATTTTTATTGAGTTGCTATTGACTTCAAGTTACTGAATATGTTCTTTTCTTTTTGCAGATTTCGAGTTTGGCTCAACTCCCAAGACCAAGTCTAACATGAATAAAGTGCATGTCATTTGGATAAAGCGCTCCAGTTACACCTGGGCAGCAAAACCCATCCATGTGTGGATATCAAGATAGTTTACATTCTCTTAGAGAAAAGCATGCCTCAAAAAGGTGTCGACGAATTAGTTTACCCTATCATGTTGGAGAGCATACCAGATTAGTGTCAGGGGATTAGTTTTGCCTTCTCATGTTAGAGAGCATACCCATATGGGTGTTGGGGATTAGTTTACCCTATCGCGTACCCTAAGAAGGGTGTAAGAAATAGCTTACCCTTTATCCTAGGAGAGTAGACCCTGAGAAGGGTGTTAAATGGTAGCTTACCCTCTCTCGGAGGAGAACATGAGTGTTGTTTTTGAACATGCATTTTAGCCAAATTTATGAATAACTTCTCAAATCTTCATTGAAAATAGGCGAAATGTATCAAACTTTGTTGGAAAGTAGAACCGCAAAACAACTTGGAAAATTATTGGCTTGCGATGTCTTGTTTGTCAATCTACTTGAGACTTCGAACTTATTTGGCTTGGACGAGATTCAAGGAGCGAAGGTCAGGTTAGAATAGTACGTTCTCATATTGTAGGCATTTCACTACTTCTTAATTTTGTTGTCATTCATGGTGGTGAGCGTGTAACTATTCTTCTGTCTGCTCTGCTGATTTAGTAAGGACCTTCTCAGGTGAGATCCATCTTTTTGGAGCCATCTCTACATGCATTAATGAAGGTTTTTCTCAAGACAATGTTTCTAGGCTGGAACTACCGGATCGTGGCCTTTTAGTTATAGCTGGAGAATAATTGTTGCTGATAAGTTGTGATTTTGGTGACAACCTTGTCGCATTCTTCCTCTACCTGGCCACCTCATTTTCCTTTAGCTCTAGATTTGGCAGTATAGTATTAATGGTTGACATGATGACATTGGGGGAAATGATTGCCTTGGGGTTGAATGTTAGGAAGAAGGGAGTTTCGTTGGTTGCTCGTTGTTTGGTTATGGATACACCTATAGAACAACTGGGAGCTCGTCTGGCCGCTTCCCTTTCTTGTTTCTGAGTGACCTTTTGAGGTAGTCTAAGACAGTCTTATTGGATTCCTCGGCCTACCCATTACCCTGGGGTAATCTTGGTGTAGACATGTGCTGCTTGATGCCATATTTCTGGAAGAACTTCACCAAGTCTTTGCCTACGAACTCTGCGTCATTATTGCTTTCAAAAGAGTATGAGATTCTGAATTGGCAGCTAATGTTCTTCCAGATGAATTTTTCTATGTCTGTCTGGGTGGTTGTAGTTATGGGTTCAACTTCAACCTATTTGGTAAAGTAGTTGGCCACTACGATCATGATGTTTTTGCCCTAGTAACAAGCGACATTGGTCCCACTAGGTTGATTATTAATTGCATGAATGCCTCAAGGGATTGTCTGCGGATAGAGTTCGCTGGTAGGTAGTGCGGCACTGGCTTGAAGCGCTGTCAATTGTCGCATATTTGTAGAAGTTCTTTAGCATCTTAAGGCATGGTTGACTAGTAATAGCCTACGTTAAGAGCTTTCTAAGCCAAGGAACAGCCACTAGAGCACCTTCGTGGATCATGCTCAAAATCTTCAGGTCGTCAAGAAGCACCAGGTAACGAAGATGTGGTCCTATGAAGGATCTTCGAACAAGCATGCCATTCACATGTACTTGCGTCCTGCCTTCGCTTGGAGCTTTACTTGATGCCTAAGTCAGTTTCTCTGAAAAGAAAGTTTTGAGAGCTTAATTGTGTAGCAAAAGCTTACCAAATTTGGTGGAGAATGTGTATTTATCGGAGCTAAGACAGACCACATGTGTAGGGTTTACCATGCCATTTGTTAGTATGGTTGGCCAATGTGTGTTATCTGTTGGATAGAGGAGAAAAAAATTATCACATAGGTATTATTAATTAAATAATTTCTTGGAATTATCTTGTAGGATTCTTGATTGGATGTGGCTGTGATTTCTTGCTTAATTGAGTTGATGTTAGAAAAACATAAGATATTATTTAGTAATTAATTCTATATTAAATACCTTTGAAAGAAAAAAAAATCAGAAATCATATCAACGAAAAAAACCAATAAATTGATCATAAGATTCATGAAATTTCGCAAAAAAGAAAAAGAAAACGAAAGGTTTCGAAATACCGAACAGAAGTTGGTTTGAATTAATAGTAATGCAAAATAAAGGAAGGAAAATGAAACAGTAATGTCGGATATTCCTACAGCTTAATTGACAAGGAAAATTAAATCATATCAACACTATCCCTAATTAACAATCGTGGACTTCTCTATTACAGAAAGTATCACAAAATCAAAATCATAACTATCCCAAAATGGCATCAACGAATTTAAAAATTTCACTATAAATTTGAGGCATATCAAGGCTTTGTTTTTCTGCATTCTTCTTGACTTATTAGCTCCCAGATTATTCAGCATGGCTTCCCCCAATTTATTTGGTTTGATTTGCCTTCTTATGTTTTTATTGACTACTCAACATGCAGTTCTTGGTGATATAGACTATGGCGATGCTCTCACCAAGTCTTTGTTGTTTTACGAGGCTCAACGTTCCGGTATATTGCCTTCCACGCAAACAGTGCAATGGCGTGGAGATTCTGGGCTTAAAGATGGAAATGATGC